CACTGTGATACCTAAAAATATTGACTCTGTTAAACAAAAGATACATTGTGATACCTAATCATATATAAGATGCATAGTGATACCACTGTGTTACATCTTCGATTGACCACACAAACGACATCAATGTGATACCCAAACACATATATGATGCATTGTGATACCATTGTAGTATCACCGGAGGACGGTGGCCGGCGGACGGTGGCCGGAGGACGGTGGCCGGAGAGAAAAGAGAGGAGGAAGGAAAGTTTTAAAATAGCAAAAATATCCTTGCATTAATATTTTAATTCAAAATTGCCAAAATTATAAATTTCCTAATTTATCTATTGATTTGTAGTTAATATTGGTTCTCACAGTTACCACAAACTAATTAGTTCTCATTTGATTAGACCCCTATATATATATATATAAAGAGGATGAAGATAAAACTTTATCTAATCTTACTTTTAGGAGATCTTTGAGAGAAAAAGAGTGTGTGGCGGTGAAAGGTTTTCTTGAGAAGAAATCTTGCTAAAAGTGATTTGGAGATTCTGTGTTCATTTGAAGAAATTGTTGTGCGATTCAGATCTTCAAATCTGTGCTTAATAAGGTGAGTTTTTTATATTAAAACCTTTAAATAATGCGATTTGAAATATGTGGTTTTGATAATTGATTTTGAAGGAAGAATGGTAAAAACTATTTCTAACAGTTGAAGATGAGTTTTTATGAATCTGGTTTTGGAAACTGTATTGGAAAAATAAAGAAGATTATTGCTTCTTTAAAAATAATTACGGATGATATCCTATTTTAAGGATTTAAGGGAGATTTTGAGTTTGGAAATGATATTGGAAGAACTGGTAGTTCTTGAGTTTCATAGTTTTAAGATAAAACTATTTTGAAACCATTATTGGTTAAAAACTATAGAGGACATTCTTTCAAGACGGCTGTGACTTCGGTCTGTCTTCGTTTGGAATTAATCTATAGATTTTGATGGTTAAAACTATAGAGGGTGTACCATCAAGACGGTTGTGAGTTCGGTCTATCTTTGTTTGGAACTAATCCATAGATTTTGATGAGGAAATAAGGATGGCATATCAAGGAGAGGTGTACCATGGGATAAAGGTGGCATATCAAGGAGAGGTGTACGTTCGGTTATAAGGGTGGCATATCAATGAGAGGTGTACCTTTGGATATAAGGGTGACATTTGTATGTGTGATTATTATGGCTCTTACTATTATGTCTTTTAAGATTGCAATAGTTTTGAGTTTTTACTTCTTTGTGATTTAAGGACTTAGGAATGTTGCTCTTATAAAAATGATAGTAATGATGTTATTGAGAAAGGGAAAACTTGTTGGTCAATGGTTTTGGATAAACTATGTTTTGGCAAAATGTTTGATTTATGAGGAACCAGAGAGGCTCTGACTGTTCTTTGAAAGGAACCAGAGAGCTCTGGTTGATCTTCACAATAGAACCAGAGAGTTCTGGATGATGGTTTGATATTGTTACAACTCTTTTTACAAAAGCTTATATAAACCAGAGGCTCTGTATCTATTAGATAGGAGCTCTGTGTCAAAATTATGTTTTAGAAATATGTTCATAAGATTTTATACTTCTATATTTAACATAGAAACTTTTCATATAAAGAATGACAACTAGAGGGGCTCTAGTTGGTCTTCACGTTGAACCAGAAGGTCTCTGGTTGGTCATGAGTTTTGAGCTAGAGGCTCTGATTTATAGAACCAGAGGCTCTGGTCATACTTGAGCCTTTTATTATATACTTATAAACTTGGAAAAACTTGTAACACCCATATTTTTACCATGAGAGATGTTACGTAATCTAAAACAGATTCTCCAAAAGCACTCCAAAAACAATGGTTAAATTAAAACTTTAGACCGTTTACAGCGAAGACTTTAAAAGAATAAATATATAACTTAATGTCAGCCCGTCCCATACTAGGTTGCTTTACAAATATATATATCATAGACAATTGCGCCTAAATATTGAACTTAAATGGACTAGACAAGTCTCTATGTATGCCCTTCTTTTTCTTTGTCCAACCT